GGTCTGAAAGGAAGGAAAAAAGACTACATTTCAGCACAAGATAAATATCTTATCTGTCTTGATGTTACCTAAAAATCCATTGTGCAGAAGACATGGCAAGAAACAATGGGTTTAGATTACAAGAAAGTACATTTCCTATAAACATCAAAAAATCTCCTAACAATAAGAGCTGTTAAACAGAATTGCCTTGGCATATGGTGGATAATCCACTGAAAATGTTTAAACAGGTTATACAGCCATCTATCAAGAAAAGTATAGTACACTAAGTAATTGAACTAAATGAGATCCAAATTTCTTTCCAACTCCTGCATGATTTTTATTATTATGAAATATTGGCATTATAACTGTGCATAACCAAATAAAATAAACCAAATCTTTATTATGGTTATAGACCAGCATAAATTAGATGTGGTACATTCATTAAAGCAAACTTTCTCAATCCCTGGACCATGGCCCAATGCCGGGCCACAGCCCATTGGAAACCAGCTGTGGAAGTGGTGGGTGAATGTGTGCATACAAGCGCACAAAGTTCCACCTGTGAAAATGGCACACACATGCGAAACATCTGCTCTCCCCCCCCCCCGCCACCACCAACACTTCTGCCAGTGCACTAAGCCAGAAAGAGACCTAGGTGATATAACAATATATAAATTGAAACCTAAATGTATATATAAGAAGCAAAAATCTAAACATCTGAATTAAAGACTAGAAACATTAGATGTACATACCATATTTTTTGGAGTATAAGACGCACCAGAGAATAAGACGCACCAAGATTTTAAAGAGGTTAAAATGGCCCATTTTTGTGAAAACAGGCCTGTTTTTTTTAAGGGGCATGAATAGCCTTTAGGCAGCTTATAGAGTGCTTTTGGGGACTGGAGAGGCAAAACTGAGCAAAAAATAGTCCATTTTTTACTCATTTCTGCCCTCCCCAGCCCCAGGAGCACTCTGGAAGCCTCCTAAAGGCTATGTATGGCCATTTTGGTGAAGGGGCGGGGTTTCAGGAGGCAAAAAATGATACACCTAGATTTTCAGCCTCTTTTTTGAGGGAAAGGGGTGTGTCATACTCTGAAAAATACAGTAGTTTAATGTGTGGAAGACTGTATCATGTAACAAAGTACACTATGAACTAAGTATTCACTAAGTCTAATTTATAACACAGACCCTCATCCAACTAATTTTGAGTGTTGCTTGCTATACAAAATCCGGCAACATTCTACGTAGCACATTTGATATCTGAAAGCAACTGGATGGTGTAAAACTGTCCTTTGCAGCCTTGCTATTTATATAGTAGTAGTAAGATGAGACTAATATGAATATCTCTGCAATACAGGCACAGGGAAAGCATACACTGTTATTTTTGTGTCCCCAGTTACAAGGTATTGTCTCTCTGGAAAGAATCTTCCTGCATTGACCTTCAAAGAAAACTGAGGGGAAGGACATCATACCAGAGTAAAAGCCCTTTTTTGTTTAAATACCTCAAGTTTAGTTAGGCATGCACAAGGAGGACAGTGTAATTGCTGGATTTTCTAGCAATAAAGTTTGGGATCCTAACTGGAACCATTTGGTGCTCCATGCATGCTACACATTGGGCATTTGGGCTCCCCTCGCTCCTCAAGTCAGTAGCCAAGCTGGCAGTTGAGTTCCCCAAGCTTATGGTGCTGGGGGACTTCAATTTGCCTTCGCTCGGTGGGTACTCTGATGGAGCGCAGGAGTTCATGGCTTCCATGACAGCCATGGACTTGACCCAAGTAATTCAGGGCTGACTCACTCAGCGGGTCACACCCTCAACCTCGTATTCCTCTCGGAGCAATGGAGTCATGATCTTGGTTTGAGAGGTACTGAGATCATGCCCCTGTCATGGTCGGACCACTTCCTACTGAGGCTTGACTTTCGGAGGCCAATCCCCCACTGCAGGGAGGAGGAACCGATTAGGTGGTTCTGGGTTTTCAGATGGCGCTTGGTGTTATACCTGATACTCTCGTCCACAGTCCGGTGGAGACCCTCATTGCTTGGAACTCCGCGGCGGTGGAGGCTCTAAACCGGATTGCGCCTTTACAGCCTCTCCGAGGCAGCGGATCCAGGAGAGCTCCTTGGTTCACCGAGGAACTCCGGGAGATGAAACGCCAAAAAAGATGCCTAGAGCGCCGCTGGCGGGCCAGTAAGTCTGAGTCAGACCGAGCACTGATGAGAGCCTATATCAGAGCCTATCTCGTGGCAATACGGGCGTCAAAAAGTATACATTTTGCCGCTCTGATTGCGTCTGCTGAATTGCGCCCAGCCGCCTTGTTTAGAATAACCCACTCCCTCTTGAGAGGGAGGGATGCGGGTGATCCCTTGCAAGGTAGGGCTGAGGAGTTTGTTCAGTTTCTAGCGGATAAAGTCACTCGGATTCGGACAGACCTGGACTCCAATTGCTCAGAGCCAGCCGAGGTACCGGGGGAGGGTCTTGAGTAGAATTTATGGATTTTCAACTTGTCACGCCTGAGGAAGTGGACAAGGCCATGGGAGCGGTGAGTACCTCCACTTGTGTACTGGACCCGAGCCCCTCCTGGCTGGTCGCGAACAGCCGGGAGGTGACACGGGGCTGAATCCAGACGATAGTGGCCACCTCTCTTCGGGAGGGAGCCTTCCCACCCCTTTTAAAGGCGGCAGTGGTGAGACCCCTCCTGAAGAAGCCGTCTCTGGATCTAGCCATTTTAAGTAACTATCGTCCAGTCTCCAACCTCCCCTTTGTTGGGAAGGTTGTTGAGAAAGTGGTGGCCTCTCAACTCCGGCAGTCCTTGGATGAAACCGATTATCTGGACTCCTTTCAGTCCAGATTCAGGCCTGGCTACTGCACGGAAACTGCTTTGGTCACACTGATTGATGATCTCTGGAGGCCATGCCTCCATCCTAGTACTCCTTGACCTCTCAGCGGCCTTCGATACCATCGACCATGGTATCCTTCTGCGGCGGTTACGTGAGGTGGGAGTGGGAGGCACCGTTCTTCGGTGGTTCTCCTACCTCTCTGACGTAGGTCACAGTCGTGTTGGTGGGTGGGCAGAGGTCGAGCCCTAGGCCCTTAAGTATGGGGTGCCGCAGGGTTCCGTCCTGTCCCCTCTCCTGTTTAACATCTACATGAAGCCGCTGGGTGAGATCATTCGTTGGCACAGGATAAAGTACCATCAATACGCGGACAATACACAGCTGTATTTGTCCGCCCCGTACCAACTCAGTGAAGCGGTTGAAG